TTTTTTTTTTTTTTTTTTTTTTTTTTTTTTTTGATAGAGGGGATAAAACTCAGTTCCTTGCCCTTGTGAGGCAGGTGGTGGAATCACTAAGCTAAATCCCCAGCCCAAATCCACATTCTTAGAGTAATAAATTCTTTAAATAGATTGTCCGATGAGAAAGCACTATCCCCTTACCCAGAAAAATCAACAATAATGTTCGTTAAAATGTTTGTTCTCTAAGACTATCTCATACTGGTACTGAGGAAAATAAGTAATAAAAATTTCAAAGGATATATTTAACATCAAATGAAAATGAGTGAAATACTTTTATCTCCAACCAACTGTTGCATACAGTGCATATTCATAAACACACATTTTCTTCATGGTAATATTTTCAGCTTAGCCACTCAGTTTTATGGTGAGCAGACATAAGAAATGGTTTCTATTTGGAAATTTGTAGTTTTACTGCTAGAAAGCAAGGATGTCTAACATTCAGACTGAGTTTCACTCATTATTAATTTTGATGCAGTCCAATTCTGTTTTTTCTCTTATTATTTGCTTGAAGTTCATTCCCAAAAAAAGCCATCATGAAAGCCAACATCACAAAAATTTTCCCCTAACATTCCTTAAATTTTATATATTTTTTAGTTTTTTATTAGTATACATTTGCATACATAAATTTAAATTATTTGTGTGACATTGGTACTTGTATATAACACATCTTAAAGTCTTTTTTTTTAATCCCCTCTCCCTGTTGCACCCCTCTATTTTTAGAGTTTTAAATCTCTTCTCTTCTTTTCTTTTCTTTTTTGGTACCAGGGATTGAATTTGGTACCTTGTACTTGTGAGGCAGGTGGTGGCACCAGTGAGCTAAATCCCTGGCCCTTAGAGTTTTAATATTTATATTTTAATCTTTGATGCATTTTGTTTAATTTTTTAGTAAAGAAAGGTCTATCCTCATTCTTTGCACATAAGCATTAAATTTCAGTAATATCATTAGTTGAAAAGACTTTTCATTCCTATTGAATGGCTTTGGTAACCTTGTTGAATATCATTTGACAACATATACAAGGATTTATCTCTGTTTTCTCTAGCCTACTCTATTTACCTGTTTGTCCTTATTCTACTGAGGCATTTTGATTACTACAGCTCTACAGTAAATATTGAAATCAGAAATTTAATGTGTCTAACCTTAATCTTTTTCAAGGTTACTTTGATTGTATGGGATCCTTTGAGATACCATAAGAATTTTAGTATAAATTTTTCTATTTCTTCAAAAACCTCAGTGGGATTTTAATAATGATGACACTGAATGCATGGATTTCTTTTGGATGTTTTCTTTTTAGCAATATTAAGTATTTCAATACATAAACATAGGATGTGTGCCATTTAAATGTATTGTTTATTTTTAAGAATTTTATTAAGAGACCCAGAATAAAAAAAAAAATCTAGGTGACAAAGACAAGGTAGGGGTATCACAATTCCCAACTTGAAACTATACTACAAAGCTATTATGATAAAAATAGCATGGCACTAGCAAAGAACCAGACCTGGGGATCAGTAGAAGAGATTAGTTTAGCTGTGAAATTAAGGGTTGAAAAATCCTCAGAATAGCAGTATAAGTTTTTTGTTTGTTTGTTTGTTTTGTTTTCTGATTTTTGATTTTTGTTTTTTGTTTGTTTGTTTGTTTTTTTAAACTGGGGATTAAACTACGGTCCTTGTGCTTGCAAGGCAGGCTACCGAACCACTGAGCTAAATCCCCTGCCCTAGCACTATAAGTTTTAAATGATATTTCATATGTAATCATAATAGTATAAAACAATAATTGACTTTCAACTACAGGGATTTCTAAGAGGGAACAGATTTTGTGTTTTTTTTGCAGTAACACACAATACAGCTCTTCTGACTACAAGAATTAGAAGCACATGAAGGGTGCTGGAACCTTTTCAAAGTATCAAATATAAACTCTTAAAAGTGAGTAGGACACACAAAGAGGAAGAAAGTAGTTAATGAATATAAAGATCCACAGAAGGATTTGTCAGCTAAGAGATAACACAGTAAACTACAAAAAACTGTGAGACTCAAAGCAATATTCAAGAATTTCAGAAAGGCCAATTTAGAGTAATTTATATCAGAATTACTGTCAATGAAAGTTATAAAGGTCTGAAAATGGCTTAAGAACTCTTTTGGCAATCTTACTTTTTACACCAGCATGTTTCCATTAAGTTTCTGATCAACAGATATTATAGCAATTGTATTTGGAATAATCATGATTAAAAAGATGAGTGGGCACTTGTATGTTTTTGTAAAATGCAATTATACTGCTTTGTGTGAGAGCAATTGTAGATTGTTGGTAGCTGACTCAGATGTGAATTGAGATGCGATGGTGTGGAGTGAACTTAGATGGGAGTGGAGAGTGAAGTTGTTGTTATTCAACAGACTCAGATGTACTTGGAAATAAGGTGCTAGTCAAGAAAGACAGGCTGAGGTATTTCCTGCTTCAGCAGCTTTTCAATCTGAATAGAAAGTAAACAACAATGTAGTAATGTCAGAGCACACAATGACTCTCTAAGGTAATTTTGGTCTTGAATAAATATACACGATTTATCTATTATTATTATTTTATTTATTTATTTATTTATTTATTTATTTATTGGTACCTGGGATTGAACTCGGGTCCTTGCACTTGCAAGGCAGGCCACCGAACCACTGAGCTAAATCCCCAGCCCTTATTTATTTATTAATTTAAAACATTTCTGGCATACTGGGGATTTAATCCAGGACTTTCATACAGAACCAAACAGCCAGCCTTTGTTTATTTTGAGCCAGAGTCTTCCTAAATCACCACGTTGCCCAAGCTGGGCTCAAACTTCTGATCCTTCTGCCTGAGCTTCCAAGATTTCTGGGATTATAGATGTGCACTACAACACCTGGCAAATTTAAAATTATTTAATCAAAAATGTAAAAATATATAATAATAAGTGTTTGATAAAATGCATGTGGAATTTCATTGGAAAAATGACTTTGCATACTGCCAAGCATATGAATTGGTCTGTATTTTTCATTCTAATATAATCCATGTATATTGCTATGCTCATAGTTGTACATATAAGAATTTTCAAAGATCAGTATTGCCTATCACAAATTTTAATGTTGGAACTTTCAATAGTCCTTTATAAAATATTCTTTGATTTTGTTTCAAAATTAAATTTTTGTAGAAAAACTACATTTTCTTTATCCAGTTTCCAACTGATGGGCAAATGGGCTGTTTCCAAGTTTTAGCTATTACAAACTGTGCTGCTATAAACATTTTATTTTAAAGGTAATTCGTTAAACACATAAAGTTTTGGGTATGTTGTTAGAGAATTGATCATGTTAAAGTATTTTGTGATGCTGTCATTACAGGCTGCATTTTCCTGGTGCTTCTTGGCTCTTAGAATGACTTCATGCTCTTATCTTTAGTTTCCCTCCCACCAAGGCCACAGCAAGACATAAAAGTTAAAACCTGCTTCTGCAGGACTGAACCCATAAAAGGTAACCTGACCTGTGATAGGTTAGTAGTAGTCTACTCCT